TTTTGTCTTGGCCCAACCTCATTCCGTGTTAACATTTTAAGAGGTTATAAATACAAGTTATAAGACATAATTGAAGGGGATGAATGACGGTTTAGAATACGAGGAATGAGAGTCGATCTAGAGCAAAAACAATAAGAGATTGGAGGATAATTCAATCATGAAAGAGTTTTTCTTATCTTTTTCTTCTCTATGTTTTTTAATTCAGAATTTGATATGTTGTTTTTAATTATTATGAACTAATTTTAATATCTAGGGTTTGATGTAACTGATCTTGAGACATGTTTGTATTCTTTTATAGTTAATTCAATTGATTTTTCCATTAATTCATTTGTGTTAATTCTTGCGTATTACTTTCAATTACCTGATCAATACTTGAATGATTTGATGCTTTAAATTTCAGCACTCGAGAGAGGGAAATTTAGAAGTGATCTAAGAATGACACAACCTAGGAAATTATAGGTTTCAAGAGAAAGTGTAATTCCTTTGAGGTTTATTTCATTTAAGAATCTTATACTTATAATTTCTATAGCATTAACTTGGAATAAAGATATTGAGATTAAAATATAGAAATAGATTCTATTCGACACTCGAGATAGGGAATATAATTTAATTTGTGATTCTTGCCTATGAATTCAGGAAAAATTGATAGAAGTGACTAAAGAAGTTGAAAAACATTATTGATAGTGAGGTGAAATCAATCCATAGGCTTTTTCGCATTGATATTCTCCTTTAAATTGTTTTCTTTCCATTTGAATAATCGCACATTTATATTATTTTAGGATAAAAACGTTGAATTGAAATTTGGTTTGTCTAGATAAAGTAAAAGCTAAAATAATTTTAATACTTTGTATGAATTAAATTACAATATCTGTGGGTTCGACACTCCAACTCTATTGCTATATTATAAAACTTGACATCGTACACTTGTGGTATAATTTACGTTATAGAAACGCGTGACAAACATATAACATTAGGGGAGAAAGAAAGTGGTTGGATGTTTTTTTTTTTAAATAAATTATTTCCTCATTATTAGAGTTAAATAATGTTTTAACTTCGGATCAAAGGTAACAAAATAGGAAAGTTTCATTTTCCAATCTTAGAGCACTTATTTTATGAATTTATTTATGCTAATTAAAATATACTCATTTATAGTGTCAATGCCAGACAAATTCAAGGCCCCAAATTTTGCTCAATTACGTGACCAATTTTCCAATATATTTATTGATTTTGCATTTACTAAACAAGCAGCAAATAAAATATTTTAACATGATATTTGGAGTCAAGTTATGGTAAGCTATAAAAAAATAAACATAAAATAAAATAAGTGTATCATTTTATTTATTCCGATTTGAAATTGAATTATATGCAAATTATAATTAACTTTAATTGACTTGTCAATCGGTTAGGACATTCAAGGTATAATTCCCAGTAAAATAATATTAGTCACAATGACGATAAATTAAGCATTAAACATATCGTTAGGCAATATCATATTAAAAAAAATTGGAAAAGAGAAATGTGGCGTTACACAAATATTTTTAAATCGGAATAATTACAAGGACTACTAGACCATATCTCTTCTAGCGTCTTTTTCTCAATAGCAACTGAGAGTACATTAATGAGAAAACAAGTTGTAGTTGTAGTTTTAGCCTAAAATGTCTTGAGCAACCCAACATTTGAATGCATACAACGAACATTTTCCATCAAAGTTCTATTTGTTTGTTCTGCCACACCATTCTGCCATAGAGTTTCGAGCACGTCAAGTGTCTCAAAATCTCTTCTAACTTGCAGAAGCTTTTGAATTCATCTCAACAAAATTCCAACCCGTTATTTGTTTGTAGACATTTTACCTGCTTTCTAGTCCGTTTCTCAATCTTTCTTTTTCGCTCTTTAAAGGTTATAAACACACCTCTCTTCCGTTTCAGGAAGAATACACAAGTCTTTCTAGAAGAATCATCAATCACTATCAATAAATAATAAGCACCTCATTTAGAAGGCACCATTGTCGGTCCCTAAATATCAGAATGGATATACTCAAGTGTTCCCTTCATGTTTGTCTTTTTTTGGTGAATCTAACTCTTTTTTGTTTCCTAAAGACACAATGCTCATAGAACATTAATTTACTGGTCATATGCCCATCAAGTAGTCCTCCCCGCACAATTTTGTTATATCATTCTCACTTATTTGCCCAATCCGCACATGCCAAAATGTTGTAACTTCTTCATCTCCCAAGGAAGAAGTAGTAACTACTACATCCCATGTAATTGTGTAACCCTTCAAAATGTACAATTGTAAGGAGCTTTTATGTCATTTCATAACAACGAGAGCACTTCCGCTCACCTTCAAAACTCCACCTTCAACAATGTATTTATACCCCCATTTGAATCAAGGATCCTCAAATATATGAGATTTCTCTTCAATTCTGGAATGTGCCTTACACCAATAAGTGTTCGAATAGATCCATCAAATATTCTGATCCTGACGTATCAATTCCAGCTATTTTATAAGATGCGTTGTTTCCCATTATTACAGCATCTCTTGAAACTCTCTCATATGTTGTAAACTAACCCTTGTTAGGACACATATGAAACGTATAAGCCAAGTCAATAACCAAGTCTCACAAGGTCTGGAATTACTGTCAAAAATCACAAGAAGTTCTCGTTCTCTTTACCCATCTTTTACAACATCAACTTTTCTTTTATTTTCAGGTTGCTTTCCATTATCTGTAGTAGTAGCAACCATTCTATTTCTATTTTATAATTTGTAGCAATCATCTCTAATGTGTCCATTTTTTTACAAAAGTAAAATACATTTTTCTGTATGTTTGGACCCCGATCTGCCCCTTATACTTCCATCAAAATTCCTCTCTTGGTTCCTTCCACGAACAACCAGCCCTCAACCTGATTTCTAAATCCAACTACAAGATACTTTATCTTTTCCTTTGACAATAAAGTATCATAGACATAATCCATAGTGAGAGTGTCGTGACTATAGAAGACGTATCTCTAAAAATCAAATATGAAGGTGGTAATGAATACAACAACATCAATGCAAGACCTTCATCCTAATACTTAACTTCCAACGTTTCTAAATCAGCCACAATTTTTTAAACATAGATAAATGATTATCTATTAACGTACCTTCAGACATCCGGTGAGAATATAAGCGTTGCTTTAAGTGTAATTTACTGATCAAACTCTTGGTCATACAAAACTGCTCTCATCTCAACTACAACACATCAACTCTCTTCTCCTTTAGAATATTTTGAAGTATATTATTTGATAGATGAAGATGAATTTGTGACACAGCTTTTCGATCTCTACGCTGTTTTTCATCATTCGTCCATGTTGAAGGCATTTTATCAAAGTCTAACAAAGTATCATCTAAATTCGTTGCGCGAGAACAGAGCGCATCTTCACCTACCACAGAGAAAATCCCATTTTGCGATCTAATAATGGTATATCGTAGTTTATCGTTACCATATGAAATAGCAACCTTGCTTTTATTCCAGATTGTTATGAAATCAACAAGATAATTGGTAAGATGAAATAAAACAAACAAACAAACACAATAATATCAAGATTTTACATGGTAACCTAAGACGGGAAAAAAATCACGGCTAGTGGAGAAGTATTTCGTTATAATCAATAATAAATGTTGGTTACACTAGATCTTAATACTCTTAATCTAGATTTAAGGCTCTTTCAATATTTACAAGTCGTGTCTGCTATATACAAAACTAAACATAGAGTTATAAAATGATTGGAGTGCTAAAAACGTGAAACGAACTTGGACCGGTCGACATCACCGCTCAGGCAGCATGCATGCCGGACCCCCGTTTTGAGCGCTCGAGTGCGAGTTGAGCGCTCGAGAGCAAAAATGCATCGAATTTTTCTCCCTGATCCATAATTTGACATCTTCAAGTCTTCTTCAAGTAAAATACCAATACCTAATAGAATTTCAATTATGGTAGTTGTACATTATTGGGTTACATTGTGGATGACATTGCCTCTACGTGGATGAAATCTGGCCATTGATTGAAAAAAATAGTTTTAAAATTAATGTATAAAAAATTGTGACCACACACAATGTCAAACTTGATGTACATGTAGTCAAACTAATAGAATTTAGGTCATATTTCAACAAATACAAAATCACTTCAATATATCCACTTCAATTTCGGTAATTTAAACTAGTGCGGTTCTTGAATCGAGTCGTCATTAAATATAAATTTTAGCCACTGCTTGACAAGTCGTCATTAAATATGAATTTTAGCCACTGCTTGACAACCATTGTTTGTGAAAAATATAATTTTGAATAGTGATTTCTAGGAGAATGTGTAATTAAAACATTGGAAAAAAATTTGGATTACGTGTAGAATATTTTATTATATGAATGTATGGTTGAAATATGTCCGTAGAAAAAAGAATTTGAAAATGATGGTTATCAAACAGGGACTTAAGAATGTGCTTTCAGAAAGTAAATTCTAGAGTCTGTTTGAACCTTTTTTCTAATAAAAATGCATTTTGGAATAATATTTTGATGGAGAATGTATGATTAAAATAAGAAAAGTTTTGAATTCACATGTAATATAATTTTATTGAAGAATGTGTGATTGAAAATAAGAGAGAAAAATCTATTTTGAAAATAATGAGTATCAAACAAATTTATTTCTTAAAAAAGTAACTTTTTGCCCATGTTTGGTAGGAATTAAAATCAGATTTTTAATAGATTTTGATGAAAGTTTGTGAAATATATGATTAAAACGTTGTGAATCACATAAAATATGTGGTTAAAGTTAATTGTTGACTTTTGTTTATATTAAACGTACCAAACATGTGCTCAATTAGAATTTCTCCTAATAGGCCAGCTAGGCAGCTACAAATATTCAATTAAAACCAAAAAGAGGAGATCGTTTTTCTATTAAAGATGAATCATAATAAAAAAGTTTTAGACTCTCAGACCAAATCCCATTTCGTACTTTCTCTACCGCCATTGTGATGGAGAATCTTGAAAGAGACGAGCCACTGACGCCGGCCGGCCGTCTGTTTGTCAGCCCGGTAATGAGCCAAATCATCAACTGTGTCATTGCCGTCGAAAATCCAATAGATATTGAGGCTGTGAGGGCCGAGATAAGCAACTCCATAATGGTCAAACACCCTAGATTTTGCAGCCTTTTGGTCAAAGACTCCTGTGGCCGCGAGCACTGGCGGAGGACGGTGGTCGACGTTGACAGTCACCTCATCATCCGCCATAATACACTCTCCGATGACCCTTTGGTTTCCGACGAAGTGGCGGTGAATGAATACTTGGCCGATCTGTCAGTTTCTTCTCCTCTCGGTACTGATAAACCATTGTGGGAAATCCATCTCCTTATGGCGTATAACTCTGCTGTTTTTCGAGTCCACCACGCTTTGGGAGATGGGATTTCTTTGATGTCCTTGCTTCTGACATGCTGCCGGAGAGCCGATGATCCTGCAACGCGGCCGACCATAGGTGGCATTGGCGCCGGCTCCTCCCCCATGCTTAAGCAGAGGTGGAATTTCTGGACACTATTGAAGGTGGTGTGGTACACTTTGGTGTACGTTTTGGAGTTTATAATGAGGGGTTTGTGGCTGAAAGACAGGAGCACCGCCCTAAGCGGCGGCGCTGGGGTGGAGCTCTGGCCAAGGATGTTGGCCACGGCAAAGTTTCAGCTTGATGACATGAAGACAGTCAAGAGAGCAGTGGCTGACGCTGTAAGATTTCCTAGACCGTTAGATTTAGAACATATATATCAGGACCGTTGGAATTTGCCATCGAATTTTGACTTTCTATTACAAACTATTATGAATTTTCAGACAGAAATCCTAGAATTCAAAACTCAAAATTGAAACGCAAATCTCATTAGAATTTGTTTAGTCAGAGACTTTATAGCCATATGGTAAAACCAGATAATGAATTAGCTTGTTCATATCCGAGCCATGAAAAAGATATGTTCGAGACTTCCATGTCCCCGAAGTTAGGCTAATTGCACTTCTTATACTTGAAAAAGTTAAGGATGACTATATATATGTTTCTTTATTCATATGCAGACCATTAATGATGTTCTTTTCGGGGTAGTGTCGTGCGGGCTTTCAAGGTATTTAGACATCAGATCAACGAAAGGTAAACTTCATTATCATTTTTAGTATCGAAAATTTAAGTTTGGGATATAACTCTGATGTGATGAAAAATCATTCCATTTACTCAATTTATTTGTATTTTCTAGCTTTACGAGAAGGCCTTCGGTTCACAGGAGTTGCTATGGTCAACTTAAGACCACAACCTGGATTGCAGGTCTATACTGTTTCGATTTTGGACTGAAATGCATTTTTCTTGCTTGAAGTGAAATGAGTGATTCATTCATGTCAGGATGTATCCGAGCTGATGAGTAGTGACTCGGAAACACGGTGGGGTAACAAATTCGGGATGCTTCTCTTCCCGGTTCACTATCACAGAGGCGGTTCCAATCCACTCGAGTTTGTTAAAAGAGCCAAAACAATGATAGACAAGAAAAAGCTATCACTGGAGGGTCCCTGCTCGTACAAAATCGGGGACTTTGTCATGTCTTTTTTTGGGGCGAAGGTGAATTGTTGTTTTCTTTTAATTTTAAATCGTAGAACATCTTAACCAGACTCTTGTTTCATGGTGTGTAGGTCGCCAGCATTCTTAATTACAGGATTGTTTGTAATACGACGTTTACTATCTCAAACGTGATTGGACCTCGAGAAGAGATCACGATTGTCAAAAACCCTGTGAAGTACATTAGGGTGAACTCAACCAGCCTACCTCATGTTGAGTTCTGAACTTGTACACTTTTTAATTTTCCATTTAGCAGTAGCGTAAAAAAATGCCTCTACTTATTTTCGGCAAAAAGTTACTTTTACGCGTAGCCAAATATTCTAATGTAACACGAGATGAGAGAGATTTAGTCGTGTTCGTTTTTTGTTGGCTATGCAGGCAATCACATTGCATATGGTGAGTTATGCCGGGAGGGCAGATATGCAAATCCTCGTTGCCAAAGACATAATCCCAGACCCCGAAGTTCTGGCCAAGTGTTTCGAAGATGCCTTGATCGAAATGAAAGTAGCTGCCGAAGTTGCCAGCAGAAGTTGAGGGGGGAACACTCAGAGAGAAGCATCTTGCGTACAAATAAGTATAGAACTGACCCTCTTGCACTCTTCTTTTTGTATGTTCTCTCTCTCTCTCTCTCGTTTAAAATTCGAGTGCACACTGTTACACAAAATCAAGCTTCACCTTTGGTTTTGTTTTTGCTTCCATTGTAAACCGGTGAAGCTGATGAATGATGATTGACGAATAGAAGTAACTAAATTTACTTTTTATTTATACTAGTTAGAGTTAGAACTTACGTTGCACGTTATTTTAAAATGCTTTTTAAGCACTGTGAAAATAATATTTGATCCTTCATTTACTCTTTTAATCTAAATATGAAAGAAATGCAAGTCCACAAAAATAAGTATTAATTATTATACATGTACGTAAATAATGAAATGCATACTTAAATGTGAGTATTAAAATTACAACTAAATGCATAAATGAAGATGAGTGACAAATACAATATTTGAATTAACGTGAATGTTTATTAATTTAGAATAAATACCAAGTAAATGTTAAATCATTTATATTAAATTGATATAATTTAATTTTCAAGTAAGTGAAATTGGATGCTAATTAGTATACATGGACGTGAATAATGAACTACATTTTTGAATTTGAAATTTTAATTAATATTAAGCGATTGCTTGGCCCCAGTTAAATTTATAATGAGAGATGCTACATATACAACATTTGGGTTACAACAATGGATTACATCCTTTCACAAGGAGGTGGAGCCCCGCGATTATTTTAATTGCGGGCTCCACACCCTTTGTGTGAGATTGTCATCCATTGTTGTCATCCAAAGTTGTACAAGCAGAATTATTCATTTATAATACATTTTTCTTTCTTCTTTTTAATGGCAAGTTCTCAAATAAAATAATATTACACATAAATCAAAAACTTTTCATTCTTTTTCAATTACATATTCTAAAAAAATGAGTCATGCTACTTGTATAAAGTTAAACTTATAAAACTGGTTTACAAAATACGTGTCGGCAACATTTTGGCCAATTATTTAAAAAACTATTTTTGAAATCAATTGCATAGATTTTGTCACGTCATTTTGTCAAAACACTTTTGTAACCACCTTTGTACAAGTAGCATAATAAAAAAAAAAATTATTCCAAAAATTATAACATCAAATAATGGGGGCCAAATGGGGCTAATTTAACCCCCGTTTGGTACACATTATTTTGAAATTCATTTTTAACCACACATTATTTAATAAAATAATATTTTTCATTACATGAATAATTTTTCCCAACTTTTTAACCACATTTTCCATCATATCACTATTTAAAATACATTCTTTCATCAATAATATTCATCAAACACACGTGTAAATGTTAATTAATGGAGAATTAATAATAGGGATATGGATTTTATTTAATATTAATTAAATAAATGTGAATGTTAATTAATTATAATATTTATTATAGTTCGCAAATTATAGAAATAATTGAATTGTAGTAGGGTTATAATCGTCTAGAAAATGATTCTTGTCTGCTTTCTTGTCTACCTCATTTTCACCACAAATTCTCACAATAAAATATTTTTCATATAAATTCAAAACTTTTTTCTACTTTTTAACCACACGTTCTCAAAAAATTTACTATTCGAAAACTCATTCTCAATAAAAATGGCTGTCAAACAAGGAGTTATTCACAAGGAAGATACAATTATACAAAAATAAATATAAAGAAAGGTTGAAAGGGAGGGAGAGGTATGGACGTGGAGAGGAGGCCATACACATTCACTTACCAACAAAACCCATGGCCTCTCTCCCTCCCTCTCCCTCTCTCAAAAGCCTTCCACTTTCTTAAAGGATGAACAACATCCTTGACGATCCCCACCTGCCCTACTCTGAGCCTTGGTGAATATGTGAATGATGAAAATCGCAGGTTATGCCTCCAATGGTACAAGGTGGAAGGCTGTTTGTACACTTATACTTATCTAATGGTCAAATGACTCAAATCCATATTTTAGGATTCGAATACTTGACGCAACAGTATCAAGCAAAGTTGGAATTTTTTCACCGTCTCCTTTTACTACTTAAAGATGTGCCCTAGGGACAATCTTCCACTTTCTTAATCTTCAGCTTTCTTATGTACATATATATGGGCACACACCGTTCAAGAGTGCATTTCATATCTCAATCGTCAACCAAGAAAAATCAGATTACCTGTTTATTTAATTGATATTATAATATATTATAAATTATAGATTAATGAATAAAGGTTTTGGGTTATTTCTGGTGAAATAGTTTACTAGTCTGGTTTCTTGTCTGTCCTTTGTCTGCGTTTAATCCACAGGCCACAGCAAAGCCACGACTCTAAAATCAAGCCTGCCAAGTTTCAGCCACATTGAATGCTCAACTGTTAAGATATTGACATCGAAATAAACTGTAATTACATGTCGCTATCGTATGTTTTGATTGTGTTAATATTGTGAGGCGGATTGCACGCCGACAGAGAGGTAAAAGAAATTGTCTTTGATGAGTTCGTTGTCGAATGGATAGAGAAGAAAAATTAGGAAGAAACAGTACACGCAGGTGTGCAGTGTACGTTGGGGTGCTCTAGTTTCGAGAAGAGAAAAGTTGAGGGGGTGAAAAATATTTGGAAAATGTTAAGTGTACATAATAAGTGTACACAATCTTTGACACAATGTGATGTGGCAACAATCCTGTGGTTGATGTGAAAGTGTCAGATTTGAATTAAAGGTTTTGATCAATGCCACTTGTAATTGTGTAAACCATTATGTAAACTATTATGTACATGTAGCATTACTCAAAATATTTTAGGCCCTGATAGTATTTCTTTTCCATGGAATTAGGAATTAGTTTTCCATTTTTCACATTTTTTGCTTGATTGATAAGACAAAATTTTCTTGACAAATGGTTTTCCACCCAACCCCGTTTTTGGTCGTTTTTCTTGGATTTTGAGGAAAAACTTTTTCTAGGCAACTTTCCCCCCCCTTTTTTTTTTTTTTAATTTTTGGTAATAGAAACACATTTTATCCTCAATTGTAACAAATTATATCCATTTAATGGACAATTTTCATGAAAAATAAAACCAAACGAACATAAAAAAATTCAAAATTTCAATATTTTTCAGGTGAAAAATTATATCAATCAAATACAATTAATTGATAATTTTCAGTAAAACAAGTTCTAAGCAAGTCAATTCCTTGAAATTTTATTTTTCTTTCCATCCAAATTCCATTCTCACAATCAAACGGACCCTTAATGGGTTTTCAAACAATTTTTCTTTTGCAGGTGTTGGGAGTTTTGTCGAACGCGTTTAATTATTGTTTTTCTCTTTTTTGGTTTGGTTTGTATTTTGTTTTTCCTTCTTTAGGATTGATTTTTTCGAAAAAAAGTTGCTACCTCTCTAATCTCATCGTGTTTTAGACTTGATGGGACTCTTCCTTTAATTTTGAAACTCTTGTGAATGTGCTGTCAAAGTATCGTATTTAGCCCATAATTAATTCTTACTTGTAAGCCCCTGTTTGGCCCTCTTTATTGTTGATTTTTGAGGGGTTGAAAATTTTTAGAATAGTGATTGATGGGGGATGTGTGGTTGAAAAATTTTAGATTTGTGTGTATTATTATTTTATTTGATAAATATATGGTTGAGATGAAGAGAAAGAAAAAATTAATGTAATGTAATGTAATTGAATGTAATGGGGGCCAAATAGGGGCTAACCGTTCGTTTGAGCCCCATTTTCTTCAAGTTTTCATTCTCATTATTTACTTTTTCTGGGCCGCACAACAAATATTTTCAACCAGTTGTGCCAGAGATTTTTGGGTGAGTGACCGTTGAAAATTGGTTAGACTAATATACCCAATTTGTCATCTATTATTTACGAAAATACCTACTATTATTATCCACACTTTCAAATTTCCTTTACAATTAAAAAAGGGTAGATTCGGGATAAAAAAATTTGTCTGCCAAATTCTGAAAAATCGTATGAAGTCAGGCAAATAATCAGTCCAACCAACTGTTGAAGCAGTCCAAAAATCGAGAAAAATGAGAAAAAAATGGGGAAAAAATGGGGCTCAAACGGGGGCTAAGTTTTAACCACACGTTCTGTAAAAAAAAACTAATTTTCACAAAATCAATTTCCAAACCCCCCCCCCACCCCCCCCACCCCCAAAAAAAAAAAGGGGGAAAAACTACTTTTAAATTAATGTACCAGAATGTCCGAAATTATTGTCAATTGGACCACACTTTGTTTAAACTTAATTTCAACTTTGAACCTTATTAATTAAATTTTATAAAATTAATGACACACAACGAATCATGTCCCACCACGTACGCTTTTATCCTACGCCGACCTGCTTTAGACAATTTTGGTTTCCGAAATCCATTAAATTACCTTTCAAACCTACACCACCCAATAACTCACAACTGATGCTAAGCCCCCGTTTGGGGCATTTTTTTTGATAAAAAATGAATTTTTACTGTTGATGTGATGGAGAATATGTCGTTGAAAAAGAAGGAAAAATTATTGATGTGATGAAAAATATTATTTTATTAAAGATTTTGTGGTTAAAAATGACTAGAAGGATGAGAATGAAAAATATAATATGGCTCAAGCAGGCCTAAGGTTAATCTTGTCATTTACTTACCGTATCTAGTCTCCGTCCCCGTAACGCAACCGTGTGGACTTTTCCAAAGTTGCACTATGTCCCCAATGTATTTCCTTAGAAGTAGTTGGTCCACAATGTCTTAAAAAGAGCAATTTAGTGTCCTTTTTTTTGTTGCTATTGTTCGATGACAATGGTTGAAATCCTCTTTAATTACACCATGAAAACTAATGTTATTAAAAACTTATACCTAGTCCAATTCAAAAAAAAAAAAAAAATTAGGAACCAAATTGGGTAGAAGTATACGTTCACCTGAAAAATGGAAAAATAATTGGTCCGTGGGAACTCATGTCCATAAGTTGGACATGATAGAGTTGCATATCAATTTACACAAATTTGGATTGTTAGTATTACTAGGGACTAATTCTGTAATAAAGGCCTCTCTAATCATAAAAAATGGTAGGTGTCCATGGACGATCATTTCGGTTCGACTTCCATAAAGCAATTTTCGGAGGAGTCGATAGTTGGGTACTAAATCCATTTGAACCTGAGGAACACGCAATGTTTGGTGGAGTTTGGTGAATCAACTGGTTGCTCGTCTAATTGAAGTATTTAGCCACTCTTTTGTTACTTACACCTTTGAAATACTCCGAAAGGGAATTTTCTTTGCTCCCGCAATCATCACTTTATGCCAAGCCAACTCCACTTCTGTGATAAGTCGTGGAATTAGATCACGGAAAATCTCTATAGGAACTAGCTTCTAGAAATAAGAATGATAAAATATTGGAGACTAACTTGCTCCTTTTTTAAAAAATTGATGACCAACTTGTTACTACAGAAGTACCTCGAGATCCATCTGTGAAAGTCTACCTAAATAAATAACCAATCCTTTGAATCAAATTCCTAACCCCGCACAACCCCACCTCCACTGTCACCGGCCCCAAATAGAACCATCGACCAAACCCTAGAGAGCGGATTAGAAAATTCCACCGGCAATTTCCAGCTGCTCGATGGAGATCGGACCGGAGGCGGAGGCTGCATCGGCGTCCTCCTCTTCCGCGGTGCCATTGAAGTCCAATTCAACATCATCGGTGGCTTCTTCGCCGGGTTCAAAGAGCTATAATGATATAAACAATAGTGGTAAGTACGATTTTCTGGATGACGATGAGGAGGGAGATGTTTGCCGGATCTGCCGGAACCCAGGTGATGCTGATAATCCGTTGAGATATCCTTGCGCTTGCAGCGGCAGCATAAAATTTGTACACCAGGATTGCTTACTTCAGTGGCTGAATCACAGTAACGCCCGCCAATGCGAGGTCTGTTTGTTGATGTTTAGTAAGCTATTTTTGTGTTATTAGATATCGGATGTGAATTGTGGTAATTTTGTGAAAATTTGTCGTTTGGTTAGTATGTGTTTAAGGTCAGTGTATGATTTTTTTGATGGATTGAAATCTTTTAGTCCTTCACCAAATGGAAATGGGACGAACTGGACAGTAAGAAATTTTAGACAAAATGGATGACCTTTTTTTTAGTTTGAGTAAGAACTGTGTGTACAAGGAAAAATGGCAATGGCCAATCTTCCCAATCTGAGCGTGAGTTTATGTCGTATATCTAGGTTATTAGAACGATAGGCACAGATAATACGTAACATGGGATAGATGTAACATACGATGCAATGCATAATTAGAAATGATTTGTCCCAGTTTTCACTTTGATTATCAATGCTATTGTAGATTGTTCTTAGGGTGTTGCTGTGATTAGAAAGATGGACTCCAGAAAGGGGTCAGAAGTCCTATATGCTAGGAAGATTGTCCAGTGGAGAGATAAAAGCACCATCTAACCTATGGGAAATAGAAATTTAGGTGTTCGAGTTTCTGATAACTTCTTCAAAATGCTCTGCAAACCTTACCATCGTCATATTACTATCAGGATATTGAAATAATAACTGATACCAATATATTTGTACTATGGTATTGTTTAAGCAAAACTATATATATCAACCTTTCCCAAGAAATATATATTGAAGAATTGAACTGCGAATTCCAGAGTATAAGGTATGAATTTGGATAATAAATAGTGCTGGATTTCTGTTCAAGTACATCACATCATTTTTGGTAGGTTTCTATCTATAGATATTTCTATTTTTATTCTCTCCAGTTTGTGCTTGATAGAGAACCATAGTGAGATTTTCCCTTACTTATTCCTTAGTTACATATAATACAGGTCTGCAAACATCCATTTTCGTTCTCTCCAGTTTATGCTGAAAATGCTCCGGCAAGGCTTCCTTTTGAGGAATTTGTTGTCGGAATAGCTATGAAGGCCTGCCATGTTATGCAGTTCTTTTTGCGCCTCAGTTTCGTACTTTCAGTTTGGCTTCTCATTATTCCTTTTATTACCTTTTGGATATGGCGACTGGCATTTGTTAGAAGTTTTGGCGAAGCACAGAGATTATTTTTGAGTCACTTATCTACAATAGTCATTCTGACTGATTGTCTGCATGGATTTCTGCTCTCTGCAAGCATTGTATTCATATTTCTTGGGGCAACTTCTCTAAGAGATTACTTCAGGCATTTACGAGAACTTGGAGGACAGGATGTCGACAGAGAAGATGAAGGTGACAGAAATGGAGCTCGTGCTGCAAGAAGGCATGCTGCTCAAGTCAATAGAAATATTGTTGGTGATGGGAATGGTGATGATAATGCTGGAGCACAAGGAATTGCAGGAGCTGGTCAGATAATACGCAGGAATGCAGAAAATGTTGCTGCTCAGTGGGAGATGCAGGCTGCTCGTCTTGAGGCTCGTGTTGAACAGATGTTTGATGGCTTGGATGATGCTGATGGTGCAGAGGATGTACCTTTTGATGAACTGGTTGGCATGCAGGGACCTGTATTCCATTTGGTTGAAAATGCATTCACAGTGAGTTCATATGTTCCATAGTTTCCTTATTTCTTTTGGTGCCTGATTAGAATGGGATTTTAATTTTGTTTTTTGAATCATTATTATTACATGGAATGCTATTTATCATGTGCCTGATATTATATTGCCCTAGTTAGCATGAAACTTAGTTGTGTTGTTAACTTGTATTACCATGTTTGAAACCTAAAGTTGTTCTGATATGGATGGCTACTTTTGCTTACTAGATTTCAACTCATCTAATTTGCACTTGCTGTAATCTGCAGCAATGAATTTCTTAAAACCTTGCAACACGTAGTGATATAATTTTCAAGTGTAGTCTGCTTATTTTTTTTCTCATGAAGAATTTTATTGGATTTAGTTTCATGAGACCATCCTAGGTGGGTTGGGTGGACTGACAGGTTAGCATGTCGATTTTACAGTTAGTAGTTCACTGAGAGGGTGATTTACATACACGGATGTAGTAGCTTTTAACAATCAAACTCATTATATGACTGACTGTAGTTACTGGTTTATGCATTCCAATTTTCTAAAAATTTGTTACCCATGGAATTCTTCTCTCTCTTACCGTTTTCTTGAGAAAGTGATCACTAGAAGCAATCACTTGGGGTATTAGACTATGCCTCCAATAAGTTTAATTTTGTCATCAATCAATAAACCAGATGTGAAATGGAAAGACAGTCTTTTTTTTTTTTGGTAAAGCGGCATGGTTTCTACAGCCATGGGTGGAATTAATTGGTCTATCATTCAAAAATTTATTTTCCATACCTGGTGAAAAGATGCATTTACATCGTCTCCATGCTTGGATGTCAGTGGAATCATTACTTGAATTGCATGTAAACGTTGATTTATTAATTGTTTTTCAAAATCAGCAAGCTTGTCTAATGTATTTTGCCTTATATATGCAATGGATTTTTTTGTTGCTAAACTTCCTCCTCTTTTTTGCAGGTTCTAGCGAGCAATATGATTTTCCTTGGAGTTGTGATCTTTGTGCCTTTCTCATTAGGACGTGTTATACTCTACTATTTATCCTGGATTTTGTCTTCTGCTACTGGTCCTGTATTATCTTCTGTCATGCCACTTACGGAATCGGCGCTGGCCTTGAAGAATGCAGTGACTGCAGTTATGAATTTGACGTCTGATAACCAGGAAGATAGTTTGCTTGGACAGGTAAGTGAGATGCTGAAAGTAAATGTAACAGGAAATAATGAAGTATCTGGCAACCTAAGCTCAGCTATTGCAAACGATATCTTGAAAGTGCAATCTGCTGGGGTTTCACGGCTTTCTGATGTGACTACTCTTGCTGCTGGCTACATGTTCATATTCTCGTTGGTCATTTTCTATGTTGGAATTGTTGCCGTAATACGGTATACTAAAGGAGAGCCTTTGACCATGGGAAGGTTCTATGGCATTGCTTCAATTGCAGAAACTATTCCATCCCTCTTCAGGCAGTTTGCTGCTGCAATGAGACATTTAATGACTATGGTTAAGGTTGCTTTCCTTCTTGTTATTGAACTTGGGGTTTTTCCTTTGATGTGCGGATGGTGGCTGGATGTTTGTACTATTAGGATGTTTGGGAAGACAATTTCGCAAAGAGTTGAATTTTTCTCAGTCTCGCCACTGGCAAGTTTTTTGGTTCATTGGGTTGTTGGAATTGTCTACATGCTGCAAACCAGTATATTTGTCAGCCTTCTTCGAGGGGTATTCACCGTGCCTAACATTACATCTACTCGTATTTTCTAAGAGTTCTATGTTACCTACCACTAACACCATATATATTTCTTTATAGGTTCTACGCAGTGGAGTTCTATATTTTCTTCGTGATCCAGCTGATCCTAATTACAATCCATTCCGTGATCTGATTGATGATCCTGTACACAAGCATGCTCGTAGAGTTCTGTTGTCTATAGCTGTTTATGGGAGTTTGATAGTGATGTTAGTATTTTTACCAGTTAAACTTGCAATGCGAATGGCTCCCTCCATTTTTCCACTAGATATTTCGTAAGATCGCTCTCCACATCCTTTTCAGAAAATATCGTTTTCTTGTCTGTTACATTTTCTGATTTACATGAAATATCTTTCTATTAACCTACACATAAATGCTTCTCTTGCAGAGTGTCTGATCCATTTACTGAAATTCCTGCTGACATGCTTCTCTTCCAAATATGCATTCCTTTTGCTATTGAGCATTTTAAGCTGCGGAGTACTATCAGATCCCTTCTGCGCTATTGGTTTGTAGCTGTGGGCTGGGCACTTGGTTTAACGGACTTTTTACTCCCAAAACCAGAGGACAATGGTGGCCAAGAAAATGTAAATCAGAATCCAAGGAGAGGACATGCACAGTTTGGCGCAGAGGAACAAGCCATATTACTAGCCTCACAGGCAGTAATAGGTGGCATGGAGGAGCCGGCTGATCAAGAGTAAGTTGCAATGAGAATAATTATTTATTAGCATTTAGTGTGGGAGTTTTTTCTGTGAACTATTTGTTCCCTTAGATTTTAGCCTGTTTGTCCATCTCTCCATCAATTCAGTTTGGTATGTGCACTTAACTAGTTCTCATATCTGTGATTTAAAGTTTGCACTTTTGATTTTTACTCAATGACCACCCATAAACAAGCCATTGTTTTTTCTTCAATCATGCGGATGCCATCTTTTGGTAACAACCATACCTAATAGATACGATGCACTGATCAATTTTTCAGAATAGTACTGATAATAAGACTGACATGTTGATTAAATTCTTTAAAAAATTTCATTTATATAGTGTACCTATTTGTTATATTATAATAACTTTTTGATAAAACTTTACATTACTATTGTCGAAGAAAGAAAAATGACTGGTAGTGTTCGAGAGTGTCGGTGTTCGACCCGTCACTGTAGTTGAAGTGTCCTTGCAACATGGCTTGATAGTAGTGATGTACATACATGCACTCAAGAAAATTTTAGCACATACAGTCTGACCAATCCTGCATACTCAGGTGTCATTAACTTACTTATAGGGCATCCTCAAATGTTGTTTAGATTTTTTCTTTTCTAATTGATCCATACACCTTTAGTTGTGGTCAGCCTTTGTTAGACTGGCAATGCTTTTCCATAGAGTTATTGTGTTCTTCTACGAGCATCTTATATATGTCTGTTTCAATCTTTTAGAAGGCAGAGGTTTGTACTTCGCATTGTGCTGCTGTTATTGGTAGCTTGGATGACGCTACTTGTTTTCAACTCTGCATTGATAGTTGTGCCCATTTCACTTGGGCGGACGCTCTTCAATGCCCTTCCACTCCTTCCAGTAAGCCATGGCATCAAGTGCAACGGTAATTCAATTTATTAAGTTGGTTAGTTATGCCCTTATTTCAACTTGATAATGAGAATCAAGCCATAGTCTTCACTTTTCCTTTACTTTCTTCTTTAGATTCATATGCTTTTGTCATTGGAAGCTATGCCATTTGGACTGCCTTGGCTGGAGCAAGATATTTTATTGACCATATTCGGACAAGGAGAACTACAGTTTTGCTTGGCCAGGTTTGGAAATGGTGTGGCATCATTCTCAAGAGTTCTGCACTGTTGTCAATATGGGTAAGAATGGGTAGTCTTGGTTATATTTCAATAAAATTGCAGAGGCTTTTAATTTTAACTCGTATTACCTTTGTGCTGCAGATTTTTGTCATTCCTGTGTTAATCGGACTTCTGTTTGAACTTCTGGTAATCGTGCCTATGCGGGTTCCTGTGGATGAAAGTCCAGTTTTCCTTTTGTATCAGGATTGGGCCCTCGGACTAATCTTTTTAAAGATCTGGACAAGAGTGGTTAGTTTTCTCTCTATTTGTCTGTTCGTTGGGTGGGGGGGTGGGGGGGTTCAGTAACTGTTTAACTTCATGGGTGGGTTCCTTTTGTCATTGTTTTTATGATAGCTTTAGAATGACCCATTGATGTAGTAATGAATATTCACATGGCAATGGATGCACGGACATCAATGCTTCAACTTCTTGATATAATGAAGATTTTAATTTTTGATTGTTTGTACAGGTTATGTTGGGCAACATGATGCCACTGGTGGATGAAAGCTGGCGTATAAAATTTGAAAGGGTGAGGGAAGATGGCTTCTTTAGATTGCAAGGTCTTTGGGTGCTGCGTGAGATTGTTTTCCCAATCGTTATGAAGCTGCTTACTTTATTATGTGTTCCCTATGTTTTAGCAAGAGGCGTGTTTCCGGTATTTGGGTACCCGTTAGTGGTGAACTCAGCTGTCTATCGATTTGCCTGGTTGGGGTGCCTTAGCTTTAGTCTGCTGTTCATCTGTGCCAAGCGGTTCCATGTCTGGTTCACCAACCTCCACAATTCTATACGCGATGACCGGTATTTGATTGGTCGTAGACTCCACAATTATGGGGATAACTTAGACGAGAAGCAAACCGGTCCTCATGTTGTCCTAGAGGATCAAAGTTCAAATGCAAGTGATATTGGCATGATTCAGCAGAATCAGGAAGCTGCAGATATAGGGATGAGGCAGAGGCATATTGTTCGTCCGGATGCTTAAGAAGTACACTAAACAACTGGTGTACTAAGTGAGTCGTTGAATGAGACATTATGATACGAGGTTCTGAGGGTGTTATGGCCTTGAGTTTTGTGAATATAACTTTTTAGAGTTTCTTTACGTGGTAGAAACTAGTGAGATATGGTTTGTAGATAGCTTATATATTTTAACATGCGATTGTGTGATCGAAGGGTTAACTTAGTGCTATTAACTTAACAATAACAAAAAAAATTGTAAATTATGTTACTTGTGAATAACTGATCGTGCAATAAGATTTCTTACAGTTGTAATCTTTATTGGAGCTTGAAATTCAATATCGTGACGATTGATGCTCAATTTTGACCGTATGATTATGATAATCTGTGATTTGCTTGCGGTCACAAAGGAAATTTAGCCAACTACTTTAATTATCGAGGAAATGAGGAATGTTAAAGAGAGTTCCTTTCATTTTTGATACGGTACAGATTAAAGATGTTTTCTATTTGGTCTCGCCATTCTTGAGTCTTGACGAAAAAAGGAATGGAGTAAGGGATACCCGCTCCTCCTCT